GAAATTAATGTAGTCTATGGTGTTTTAAACATTTTACGTTTCCCCATTATTTAGAATCTTTGGCTATTTTAACCCCTTTTCTCTTAATAGGGGCACCTATGACTGTGGTGGCCTAAATGGAGGCTCCTCCCCTAACCAACGTGGCAATGTCTCATAAATTATGTTAATCGTTAATTAAAACACTCGAATTGATGGTCATGAAGTAATTAGTTAACGTGGTTTGTATACAATGTTATTGTTTCAAAAATTCAAGAGTTTTGTACGTCAAACTAGCTATTTGTGGAAAAAAGTTAATGGTAAAGGTTGTTTGATGATTTTATGGCAACAATACTAATAATTAAAAAACTATTAGTGACAATGCTACTGTGTCTAGAGTCGTTCTTGAATTTAGTTGGTGTCACTCGCGGGATTTGGGCATGTCTCACTCGGGAGAATTATGCTTCTTTGACAATGTTTGAAGCTGAGTTTCTTAAATAGATTAATGTTGCACATACTATAAGATGATTTAATATTGGATTGATTTTTATAGATATAAATATTTTTAATAAAAAAATAAAGTATTAATGAAAATATATTGAATATTAGTATCTTTTATCATTTGTTAATATAATTTTTTAAATTTTTATTACTAATTTAGATTGTATTTGAAAAAAATACTAACAAAAATCAGTTTAACACACAATAGTTTTTTTATTAATAAATAATAAAATTTTCAATTGTTGCAACAGTTATTTGCGTGGCTTTGTCCAAATCTCACTTTGGTCAAATATAGAATTTATACGTAGAGTAATATATTACTCGTTAATCGTAATGGTCAAACCAAGACACTTCTCTCGAAGTGTGAGATTAGTCTAAAAGCTACAGGTATGGCTGTTGGTCTCTAGAGTACTCTAACTAACTTTATTTTATATAATGCACAGTACACACACACACTACCACAAAGCGTGCCCTAATTTATTTCTCCCATTAGCACTCAATTGTTTAAAGCTTAGCTACAAAGATTAATTACTGTTTAATTATATATTAACATGTACCTATATATGAATGAGCTAAAATGCATTTCCAAAGTGCTTTCTAAGATCGAAAAAGGTATGTGAAGTTTCATAGATCGAAGATGGACCAAACAAGTTCTCCTCGTTGCATGCATGACGGCCGACAAGGGCTGAGCAACTCGTATCTTCCATTTCACGCGATCATACACCTTTTTCTTCCCACAATATATTTTTATTTGAACCCAAATCTCAGTCCCACAAACAAAACCATTTTCAACATTGTTCTTGTTATCGTCGCTTAGTTTTCCCAAGCAACGACTGTGGAAGCCTCAATTTTTAATTAATATTAATAATAAATCATCTTTTGTCAATTCCCAAGGGGAGAGAAGCTGGTTGGCTTTGACATGGGTTTGGACCCTATAAAGAAAGACTCCCTTCTCTTTCGCAAAATTCCTCCTCTTTTTGTTCAACGACATACCCTTACCACCCTTATTTGTTATTCCATTAGCAATAATGGTGTCGGCAAGGTCCACAACCTTTGTCCTAATTTTCATTTTGCTACCTCTAAGATTCTCCACCGCACGTACCCAACACCAAGGTTCACTAGCTTTTCCCTTTTCCGATCTTTTTTGTTGTGTTGTTGCCATGCATAATTTTCTGCATAATCAATTTTTCTCGTCTTGTTCATTATTATTAATTGCTCAGGTAAGAAGACATTGGTGGTTGCCCCCGGAGGTAAGCTTGAACCGGCAAAAAGTTCAGTGAACTTGGCGGTAAGAATATATAAGATATGTGCGCCCGTATATATTATACATTATATACCAGATATATATGTTATGAAATCATTTAAGTAGAAAAAGAGGCTGAATTAGTTGAATTTGACAATAATTTTCTACAGCGGATTTATTATCATGGTGCTCTAGAAGATGCTGAGACTGATCAAAGAACACGTTTTATTCAAGGAAGGAAAATTATGTCCAGAGGAGTACTCACAAAGTCATATGCGGTGGAGTCTAAGGATGAAATTAATAATATGGAAAAAAGTTCAACCACCAAATGGAAAGCACGTTGCGTGATTGGAAACTGCAACCATGAAGAAGGGAAAGCAATTTTGAGTGTGAAGCATAAGTTCAGTAAAAGGAATGAGTCTGGTTTGGTGCCTCTAAATGCTGATTATTTTGTTCCAAGACCTCACCCACCCAAGAATAACTGATTGTGGTAGCTATAGCTGGAGCAACTTTTTGTTTTGAAGCAATCATCATATCCTCTCACGATATATAGGCAAGTATGTTGGAGTATTTTAAGGATACACACTTTTGGCCAGTATGTGGTATCTTTTAGCTTGGTTAGTTTTGACCATTTCTGACCATTTGCTTTGCCCTTGTTTTCAGTTTTGTAGTGCTTACTGCTTAGGATAGTTACAAGAAAAAAAAAATGCAGAATAGATATATCATACTTGTACGTAATTAAATTGAGGTTTTATATGTTAATGGCTTGTTTGAATTTTGATAGAATTGATTTAAAAAAATAATAATATTAAAAAAGTTCATGTTTGAGAACATGACATAAGTCAACATTTCATATGAAAATGGATAAAAATCTCATCTATTAATTGAGCGTGGAGACTGTCATGCTTGTCTGAAAAATCAATTTTTACATTTCTAATATAAAAAACACGTTCTAATAAATATCTACAGTTTAAATTAATATTTTTTTTATAAACAACGAAAAAAACAAAAAAACAACGATTTCAATAATTTTCTTCTTTGTTCACTTCAAGTTCAGTCATTACATTAACATAACAATTTTCTTCACGAAAGATATGTAGAATTTTCACGTATCATTATCTTGCTTTTAAAGCAAGAATGTCAGCCAAGATGAAAATTATGCTGCATTGAATTAATCAATCTGCAAGCTTCCAAAAAAATCTATTTCAACAATGACATCTCTAAAGTTTAGCTGCCAAACAATCATCAGGCCTATTCTGGTCCCCAATAGCTCAGCAAAGAGAATGTCAGTATTACCAAGATGCCCTAAGAATCCATGCACCCAATCTTTCTGTTGATTTTGTAATACTCCACCGTAACATACAGGCTTGGAATTTCCTCTGCAGCTCCCATCAACATTAACCTTGAGTTTGTTAGAAATGGGTTTGATCTAACCAATTTTCCTGGGCCGCCTCACTTGGTGTTGAGTATGCAATCTAAAAACCAAATTCATATCTTGCATAGTAGTACCAATGAAGGATAAAATGCTATAAATGTTTCAAGAATTATCTCCGAGAATTATATCATTCAGCCAACCCTGAGACCACCACAAGGTAGCTAAGAAAAGGAGATTAAAGTCCTTCCTCAGAAAGTGCTCACACCAAGGTTTCAAATCACTACAATTAAAATTTATCAAATTGGATAAACTAATACTGCTCCAAAGATGCTTAATAGAAAGACAGTATCTGAAAGAATGCAATATTTTTCTATTTCACTTGTACACCTTAAGCACCCAAGAGAGGAAGCCAAATGCCTAGCATGAAGGAACGCCTTAGTTGGAAGTGCCCCGTGCAAACAAAGCCAAACAAAGAAAACCATTTTGGCTAGAGCTTTGATCCTCCAAATCTAGCTCCACGAATCCATTGCAACCATAGCTGGGTGGTTATTCAACCACTTATACTCACTTGCGTCAGTGTAAATCCCTGAACAATTATCTTTTCAAACCAAACACTTGCTGCAAGTACTAAAAGAAGGGATAGGAATTTGAGAAATCTTATTTTGCAAATATTGTGGCACAGTGCGTAGTGGCAATCCTTTGAAAATTTCACTTGTCATCCTCCCAAAGATCACAGACTCTTAAGTCAAAGTCACTAATGTATACATAATCAACCTCATGACAAAGCTTACTGATACCAATCCAATGACCATACTAGAAAGAATATTTCTCATGCCCATTCAAAACATAAAACCATCCTTAAAATGATCTACCACTTTTAAAATTCTCTGCCAAACATAAGAACAGTTTTTATGAGGACAAGACAGAAATATAAAGTTTCTATGCAAGTATTTTGCAATCATCACTTCTAAATTCAACTTAAAAGAATGATTAAAAATATTTCAAACCAACTTCTCATTAAGAGTCACATTAGCTTTCTTGCTGTCTCTAATTCCTAAACCACATAATTTTTTAGAGATTGGAACACTTAACAAAATGAATCTCTTTAGATTTGTCATTTTTGCTCCAAAAAAATTCTCTAGTTAGCTTGTCAATATCAGTGCATATTAATTCAGGTAGCCAAAGAGACTACATAGTGTAAGTGGGCATGAAAGATACCACAGATTATGCAAGGTAAATCTATGCATGTGTCCCAATTACATTATTAATTTTATTAAAATCAATTTCACTCAGTTTTAAATTAAACAAGAACTAAATAATGCATCACTCAAAGAATATACAGTTGTAGGACTTCTAAACCCTAGTAAGCAAAGATCAAGAGTGAGAGAATAATAACTTAAATTTTCTTGCTTCATATCCTTAATACAGGAGGAATGATATATTCATAAGGTGGTTTCAGTTTCCACTAAAAGGAGCTCCTTGTAATTGCATATAGCTTGAGGCCTTGGATGATTTCAATCACTGAAGTTCCGCCATAAACTAAATGATATTTAAAAGGCAAGTTCGAAAAAAAAAAGGATTTTATTTTGATTATAAGGTAATATAATGATATTTTTTAAAAAAAAAAATTATGAGTTTCATATTATAAAACTGATTTTTAAAATCTTGAGTCAAACAAATGAAATCGATTACTTTGCAAAGTCATTCTCCTTTTTCGCGAACATGGTTAGTATTTGATCACATTTTAATTTGGAACGCAGAGCAAACACCAAAGATGTGAATGGGTAAACCCAAATAACTCAGAGAAATCAGCTTGAAAAAAAAGGGAAAATAATCAAAATAAAATAAAGAATACTATTGGGCCTTTGGTCCTTTCTTATGAGCGTATGAAATAAACATGACTTGGGCCAGGATGTTTTGGACCTGGGTTGTGTGGGCCTTGCCCGTCGTCGCGTTAATCCTCCTCACCGGATAATCATTGTCTGGCTCTGAATTCTGCGGGAATCGGAATCGGAAGAAGAAGTGGAGCGGGAATAGGAGTTGATCTCCGACAAAGATGTCGTCGTCGTTGGGATCCCCAAAGAAGCGGCTGAAATTGGAAGCGGAAGATGACGAAGAGATCGTTTATTGCGGGATTTGCTATGGCGAGCGTGGGGTTGCGATCGCCGGGGAAATCGATTGCTGCAACCACTACTTCTGCTTCGTTTGCATCATGGAATGGGCGAAGCACGAATCTCGATGCCCACTTTGTCGCCAGAGATTCTCCAACGTCCGCAGGCTCCCTATGCATGGCGTCTTTTCCTCCTCGAGGGACGTTAAGGTCCCTCTTCGTGACCAGGTTCTTTTCTTCTATCTCTCTCTACTATAACTCAAATTAATTCAAACGAAATTAAAGTTAATTAACGTTCAATTCTCCATTTGCATTCAATTAATGATTTATCATTTTATCCTCTTGCTGTAACTGCGTATATCGCTGGAAGGTTTAAATCAATGCTTAAATATGACCAATTGATATTTTAAGTGCTTTTCCAAATGTTATTTTATCTTGAAGAATGGACAAAGTGATGTTTTACAGTCAATAGAGGGCTGATTTTGAAGTTAACAACCAGTTAGCGATTAAAATTTAAGCCTTAATTGAAATCAAATCCTAATTTTTAAATTGATATGATCGTAGTTTGTGTTGCCGCATCATTAAACGAGTTTGACAAGATGTTATCTAACTAAATCGTCAAATGATGTCACATGTGGCAATGGAGGATAGTATTTATGTAGATGTATTAATGTTAATATGCAAGCGATATCTTATGTTTTGTAGGTTTATCATCCATATGGAAATATGGCAACTGGTCCTGTTGATCCCTATGCTGAATCCAAATGTTGTATCTGTCATACTGGGACAGATGAAAATCTTCTACTACTTTGTGATCTTTGTGACACTGCTTCACACACATTCTGTGTTGGCCTAGGCTATACTGTTCCCGAAGGTGACTGGTTTTGTCATGATTGTGCTATTTTGCGGAAGGCCAATACAAATGAAGAATCAGACCAACAAAATGTTGTGCCAGCAGCTGAGTCAAGTGTAACAATCTTTGATATTGTCAGAGAAACAGGCAACCAGGTGGTTAGAAGACCAAGGGCATCTCCTTTACAATATAACCAGTCATCTCCTTCTGTTATTCCTTTACGTGATAGGATGAGTAGATTCAAAGGTAAAAATCCTGTCTTAGATGTCCATAACGCGCAGCATAATGTACAGGCACTTCGCGACAATTGGAATGCTTTGAGAGGTGGTTCATTACAGTTTCATTGCAATTCATTTCAACCCGGAAGCACAGTTAGTCAAGAAAAATATTGTAGTTCACTATCACTTGTCAAATTAAATGATTCACATTCTATGGCTTCCACGAGCCTTCAACAATCCACTGTCCAAGGTGGTCCCTCTAGCAACATGGTGAATGAGACATGCTTTAAAGATGCTGACAAGGCCTGGAAAATGATGGACAAGGCAAAGAAGATTCAACAGACTCGTCACAGAGCTAGCAGCATTCCACCGGGAGCAGCAGATAAACCCTCATGCAGTGGAGGAACAAGGAAAATATCATTTGCACCTTGTAATTACCCAGAATTGAAAAATCAACATTCCAAAGCATTAGATGTAAGGAACACTAAAATGGAAAATCACAGGTCTCTGAAATTTGAAGAGAAAAAGAGAAGTAGGGATACATGTGAGGAGATGACACAACATGTGAGAGACCGTACCCCTCATTCAGAAGGATACCGTGAATGCCCATTGCCCAGAAAGGGCCATACTAATATCCAGTGTGTTCCCTGTCATGAAGATGGAGAGAAAAATGTTGCTAAGAAAGACAGCTGGCCTGCTTGCTTGGTAACTTCACTGGATTCAGCTCCCTCCCGTTGCAGGTCTGGTAAGGATGTGGATCTTGTCCATGAGGAAAAGAGGTTGACTAAAAGCTCTGGGGATGGCAACACAAAAAAAATTGACGATGCAAAAACCGAGATTCAGTCTCTTGTTAAACTGAATTTGAAGTTCCTTACTAGAGATAAACATATTGGTAATTTGTTATTAAGTTTTTTTTTTCCCTCAATATTCACATGGTAATTGTTGGCTGAAATATTTATGGGTTTTGTGTACACTGGTACAACTCATATCTGATCATTAATTAGGTAGTGTAAATTCATTGGTTTCTCATTTTGTCTCATGCAAGAGAAAAATTGTTCGGGAGAAACTTCTTTTAGTTTTTTTCCTAGTATGTATTTTGTATTCTGTTAAACAGGTTGCATGCAAGTGATAACTGTTACTTGAATGAAGTATTTTACTTGATGCTATTGGTGATGCAGGTGTCGAAACCTTCAAGGTAGTTGCGAGGCAGGCCACCCATGCCATCTTGGCTGCTTGCAGTTCCGAGCAGCAAAAGTCTAATACATACTCGTCTAGCTCAATATGCAGCCATGCCGAACACACTCCCCAGTTTCAGAAATCTACTTTAATGCCTAATTCTTGCCGACAATGCTTTTATGTCTTTGTAAACAATGTTGTCAATTCCATCAAGTTAGAGAAAGCGGGTTGCGCTTGATCTACATTTTTTTTCTGTCGTAATAGTACACCATGTATTTTTATTATAGTTATTGTTCTCATGCAGCTACTCTCTGTAAAATAATAAATTTGGTTTGCTCTGTAGCTCAGGCAACTGCATTGTAAATTTTATGCCGGTGTTAAGGGATACCAGTGTTACACTGGCAGCGTAAACAATTTATTTTCCACCTCCAGTAAAGGGAGTTGAGAATATAAGCTGAAAATTGGAGTATTGTTTACTAATGATGCTTCTAGATTGCAGAATAATTATAATGCAATACATGGAAGAAACACTATTATTTTGGTCGTGAAGAAACACATTTCTATCCGTATAATTTTTTTTGGGTGTTTAGAATAGGGTGGTACAGAAAAGGGGTTTGGTTTAAGCCCAATATGGAAAGAGCCGAATGCTATAGCTATACAGTTGTTTCCAATGGTCCATTGTATCCATAACGTCACGAATTATCAAATCACTTAAAACGTCAGGAGGTTAATTCAATTGACCCGATCTCTGGTCTCCACCTAAGCGATTTGAGTTTGCATCCCCTTCAGCTAAGGATAGTGCTATCTCCAATTCTTCAAATTGCACCGGTTTAGTCCATGCGATGTTCTTTTTTTTTTTTCAGTCCAAAAGTGTTGTCTCAAAAACAGTAATGGTTCTAGACTTGTCGTACGAAAAGTAATTGTTTTAAATGGCCCGATCCATAGAATTTTTTAGCAGAAGAGTTGGGGAAGAGATCGCTAGAGGAAATAAAGCTGTTGCAGGTACGGGGTTAACTTCTAATTTAAAGTTTTTGTCTGTCGTCTGTTGCCTTTTGGTTCATCTTTAAATTCTTTTTCAAATAGCCACAGTAATAAACCTGCACAGCACAAACACAATGCAAGGGTATAGTTTCTCCTGTGACGGCATTGTTTACTTTATAAATTATAAAAAATTATAAAATACAACTTTCCTAGTATAAGAAAACTCAATAATATTTCTATTTTTCTCAGCGAAATGTATTTGAAAAGGAAGAAAAGAGATAAGCTAGAAAATCATTTAAATTTAAGAATTGAAAATAAAAGGTGTATATACATTATGTTTTAAAAATTATAAATGATTTGGTATTTGAAAAATTGAAGGGTGGGAGTTAAAATAAAAAGATGTAAAAACGATATAATTAAAAAAGAAAGAAAGTAATCAAAGTATAGTATGTAAAGTGGTGGAAACAATGGGTACAGTAAAGTAATGGAATGTGGGAGTGGGATGGGGGGTAGTACTAGTCTATTTTATGTTGGAGATTGATTCTAATCTGTGCCAGGGTCGATGGAGACACTTGTCCTACCATAGGTGGGTCCATGGTGTAGGCATGAGCTATGAGATGCAAGTAAACGACAAACGAAGGAGGGGAAAAAAAGGGCACGGGAGAAGGGCACGTGAGTGAGCCACGTCATGTGAGAGAAGGAACAGTCTCTCTCTCTCTCTCTCTCTCTCTCTCTCTCTCCGCTTGGATCGCTTTCAGATTTGAATGACCCATAAACGACAGGTCAGTTGAGAAAGGAGAGCACATGCCCCCACTAAGGTTTTGCCTTCCCTTTTCTTTTTCTTTTTTTATTTTTAGGTTTGCTTTTTGATGGGTGCATTAGTGGGTCCCTTACCCACCCCCCACGTGACACCGTCACGAGAAAGAAAGCGACACAGAGAGAGAGAGAGAACACCGCCATGCCATCCCATCCAATCCACCAAGTCCTCTTCCTCCACGTGCTTTCACGTAACCTTTTATTATTTTTCCTTCCATTTTTCCCATTACACATTCCTTCGCTTTTTTCCTCTCTCTTTGCCACACCAGTAATCGCTTCATTGTTCAATACCACAGCTTAATCAATTATTATTATTATTTAGTTATGGTCATCGTTTAATTATTGTCTGTTCAACTCATCCACTTGTCTAGTTGATTTTTTTCTCTTCGCTCTCCCACTTCCCTATCGTTAAATGAAATCAAAGGAAGATTATTTCTTTATGGGATTTTTATTTTTTATATTTATTATTAAATGTCAAATATTTGAAGGCTCTATATACAAATAACAGATTTTCACTAAATTTTTAAATTGTTAAAAATCTATATAAGCACACATCCCGTACAATTCTCTTACGAAACAATCTGTGCTGTTGACAAAAAACAGTCCCAAAATTAATAAGTAATGTTGAACAGTGTAATTTCCACAGCATTATTTTATATTTCATAAGTTGATGAATATTTATTTGAATATAATTTACCTACATAATATAAAATATAAATTGTGGGATGTATTCAAATTTGGTTACGCATAGGGTACGCAAAGAAAAGTTTATTTTACGCAAAGAAAAATGTTGGCCTGGTAATAAAATATATTTGTGTTAATCTTTTATTTTAAACCCTTAAATAAAATTAACATCTTTCATAATTATTAATACGTTTAAACTCATTAAACAGGGCTTAGAGTAAAAATCGAATGATAATGTAACAATAATGATATATTTCAAATTTAGACTTTGTTAATTTCTCAATCTCAGACTCACCAAAATAAAATAATTGGAGAAATACTCAACCAACAAGTTACTTTTTCTTTGGTGAATAACCAAGAAGTTACTGGTTGCTAAAGTGAAAACACCAAAACTGTCTGGTATGAAGGCAACAGGAAATACAAAAAAAAAAAAAGGATCAAACACTAATAAATAAAATGTTCCCTCAATTATAATCTACAATAATATAATTATTATTATGGCATGAGATTAGGGATTAGTAAGGGGTAAAGTGGGATTTTCAGTTGAATGGTAAAACAGAAGTCGTAACGAACAACACGGAGAGGAAGTAACGATCCATAACAGCGGTTAACGACGAATGACGACGTGAAGTTGTAGCGAGCAGAAAGACAAATAAAATAGAAAGGGGCGCCGAATGTCGCAACATAAAAGTGGCGAGGGAGGGCAAAACTAGAAATAAAAAAAGGTCCCCACCGCACGCGGGGTAGACCAACGGCAGGGGATATCGCACGTGACTACCTGCTTGCTCACGTGCTCTGATCACCGTGCTCCCGTATTTGTAACAAACTAACCCCCACCCGTATGTAATAATATTAAATTCATTATTTTTACGTTACAAATTATTAGTAATTTTTTTGTTACATTTTCCATAATTTAATTCCATATAATTTTATTTTAGTTTTTACGTAGCTACACTTTAATTTTATTGTGAAAAGGAAAACCCTCACAAATTAAACATTATATTTTCTTGTTCCATATTTGTCTTCTTCTCTCTTTGTATGCCATCTTATTTCATTGTTTTATTTACCTTTTTATGTTTTTTTTTCCACAAATCAAATATTTTATTTTGACTAAAATTATATATGGTATTATAATTATTTTTGTTATTTCACAACTAAAATTAATGTTTGATTTCGATGACATATATTAATATTTAATATTGAACTTTATCACGTAAAATTTTAAAATAAAACCCTATTTTTCGTAAAATATAGCATAAAAAATTTATGAATTTCTAAATTTTATCCTTTTACTCAACTAAGTAGTCAGTAACAAAAATGTAAACAGAGTAATGACTGCTTATATATAATCTATAATGTGTTATATTTTATAATACAAAATGTATTGCACTTTAGATACAGTTTTTTAAGGAAGAAAGAAAAAAGATTCAGTCACGACAAAATTATGGAACAAAAAGTAATTGGTGCATTTTTTTAAAAAGTTTTAAACAATTTTTATTATTATAATGCAGAATTTCACTTTGTTATTATAAATTAGCAATGTGAAAATTTAAAAAAATGGGTAAGGAGGACAATATGATATAAGTTTGATCTTGAATTTATGTACCAAAAAAATAAAAAATAAAAAAAGTAAACTAAACTAAAACATACATAGAAACAAAAATTTACTCTTCATAAACTTATTTCATAAAAAGCTTTTAGGCATGCATAAAAGTTCAATTAAGCTTGGGCTATTATTTGTGATTTAACAAGTTTAAAGAGTCTTTTTTTTTTTTACGTTTTTAAACCGTCAAATATTATCTACATTTAATTTGTAATTAATGTAAATTAGGTGCACTTTAGAAGGTAAAAAATTACATATATTTTTAATCTTTAAAAATATACATATTTAATTTGGTCTTGTTAAATTTTTTAATTTAAAGAATTAATTAAATTTTGAAATATATATATATATATATAATATAATTTTATTGCAATAATATGTATGACGTACACGCAACACTCATTAATACAAAATGATATATATATACACACACGCACACTGTAAATTTAAAATATTGATATTATTTTTTTGTATAATTTTTCATAAAAAATATTTATAATTTTTTTACAATATACTTTAACTCTAATTTATTTTTAAAATACGAATATTTAATTTATCCTTTCATCTTTCAATTATATATATATATATAATATTTAATTTTTAAAAAATTTGTATCAAAATTTAATTACGAGTTACATAAAATGTAAATTTTATAATCAATTTTTTAACTAAATTTATTAAAATTAATAATTTAAATTTGATATTAATTTTTTTTAAAAAAACAAAACACGTAAAGATCACACTGACTACTAACTGATTAACATAAAATAAAATTTGGTGGAGCCATTAACGATGTTGTATGAGTTGGCCACGTGAAGAGAGAAAGTAGGGAAACATTTTAATCAGGTGATGGGCTGCGGATTATACGGCAAAACCGACACGTGTCAATCCAGTTAAGACGTGCAGCAACCCTATAGGATATTCTATTTCATATCGGTTGGCTTTAGGCCTAAGTTGTAGTCGTTGCTACTTAGCAGTTATTTAATAATTAAAATGAAACAATCAAAGAGAAAAATAAAATGTGAAGGACAAATTACACAAGTGGTTTTCGTCTTGCAATGCGCGTGTCGTGTGAGTGACTTTGTAATTAGATTATTAGCAAGAATGTCTCTCTATTAGGATCAGAGACTATTAAAATATATAATGGAAGGGAGAGGGGGATGAATTCATAATTATTATACAACATCCTAATTTAATTTGATTTGTTAACTGATCCCTAAACTGATTCCTTAACTGAGGAATGTCACCACCTTCGTAGCCAGCACATGCCATGGATATTATAATATTTTAAAGCCAAAAATAGCTCAAATTTTATGTATGTTTCAGAATATATTTACCTTCTTTATATATATTTGCCTATAAATATTTCTAAATTTTAATTAAAATATATTAATTATTTTTAACATTATCATTCAATTAGTAATTATTGTATTAATAAATCTCTTCTAAATTTAGATACGTT